ACAAACACACACACACACACACACAAACACACACATACATATATACACACAGACACACACACACACACACACACACACACGCGCGCGCGCGCGCGCACACACAAACAAACACATACACACACTATAATAATAAGAATAATATAAAGATGTATATCAAAATCTGTATAGTTAATGTTGGTGGGTGACATACAGACGCGCGCTGCGTAGATCCTCCTGACTTTTGCATGATTGTGACTTTTGGTAGATCCAACCTAGATTTCTTTTGGATGTTAATTTTCTTGCCAAAGCTCACTTTACCAAACTGTTTGCCATTAAATTTTGCTGATAATCATCTGTGCTTTGTCCGAAAATAAAAGTGGGTGAAGTATGAATGGATCTTTCATAAATCACAATACTGCAAAATGTTTGTTGCTAAAGGAAAACACTGCAGGCAGTGCGTTGAATTAACGATCGTTTAAAAAACGATATTAGTAAGATGTCAACCTTTTTCTTGACGACTTGATTAACTGGAGGGGTAAATGAAATAAACTGAGAATCAACTCAAAAGTGGTTAGCTTGAAATTGGGAAATTTCCTTTCAACATTTATGATAAATTCAGTGAAACATGCAAGGGAAATGGGCCCCACTTTAAAGCTTCCCCAAATTGGACGAAGCAAGTAATAGCGCGCATTACATGTAGTTCTTTGCAACGTGCACCGTCTCTATCCCCATCGTTGGTTTAACTGAGACTTGTTAGTTATAAAACGCATGACTCTGATTCTGATGCTAGTGCGTCTAACGCATTGCCTGCAAAGTAGCATTGCTTCTACCGCCAGATTTATGTGTCATGTTTTGTAAGATGTAAACGGTGTATGACTTGACTATTTTGTCTTCATCGTTTGCGTGAAGCTTGTCAATCCGTGTTAGGCCCTTCGTCATGTTGAGCGCCTGATTAGTTAGTGTCTGGTCTTAGATCTTGCACATGTCGTTCATCTGCCATGGTCCCTTCATCTCCCCACCTGTCCACGTATGTTCTTGAGATGTGCCAATGATACTTAAACGAGTGGTTTCTTTTCAGCATTGCTGTGGCCTGCTGTCTGATAGCCCCTGTGTAGACTCTGTGTAGCGGCCTGCAGATGTGTATGCTGACTTGTAGAAGAGCTTCCACGGGCTCCCTAGTCCCCCATGACTTTAGTAGTCTACTCTGCCTTGCCTGGTGCTGATGACGTAGATCTAATCCCCCTGTCCTGTCTGCTTGCTGCACCTCTGCACATCGACACACTGGTTTCTGAAATAGTGGGCATAAAAAACCGTCATTTGTGCAGCACTAAAAATCGAAAGCAAATGATAAAACCAGGCAAAAGAAGGTCACTTTAATGTGTAAAACACATACATGAGGAAGAACGCCCCCTTTCAGCTTTACTTAACGAAGTTCAGGGAATTTTAGATCCTTGAAATATTAGGAAAGTACATCTTGTTCAGCTATCACAATTTTGTACACGTTCGCCAATACTTGGTAAACATTTCTTTCCTCTGCTGATCTGAGTATTTGTAGAAATAAGTTTGAGTTGCATCTGTTGGAACCAAGCAGCCAGTGTGGACTGTGTAGAGGTGCCTCTCAGCCCCATGATGTCCCGCGGTCATTTAACCGTTTCATTTCATCAACAGGAAGATAAGAAGGGTCGCTCGGGGAGAGCCACCTCCAATGTCTTCGCCAAGCTCTCCAAGAAGACCATGCAGGAGATGAAGGAGGTAGGACGCTCAGGCCAGCGTGCCCGGCCCACGTCTGGCTGTATTGCGTGTTCGAATTTTTCGTCTTTCTCTCTTTCTCTGACAGGCAATAAAATCCAAAAAGGATGAGCCGAAGCGTGCTCAGCGCGCACCGTCTAACGTGTTCGCCATGTTTCGTCAAGCACAAGTACAGGAGTTCAAGGAGGTCTGGTCTCTCTAACCACTCGTTTCGGCACGGCATCGTCTACGCCTTGTTTCTCTTGCGTTGTTTTATTATTATTATTTGTTGGTCGGCGGCTAACGTCATCATCAACAAGAGCACATTTCTGACTCGAGCCGAGAGGGTATCGCTTGCTGCCACTTCGGTTCTTTTTTTGTTAACGTTTCGCATTTTCCGTCTATGGATGTGACCAGAATGACTATGACTGCAACAGCAACTACAAAGTCGACGTTGTTCGCCGGAAGGCGCTCTCACAGTTCCTGTAACTCTTTTGTCTCTCTCTCCTCCTCATCTCACACATTCTACCTTTTTCATGCGTTCCTCTCCTCACGGGGACCACACGCGGCATTGAACTAATGTCGTTATTGTTGCCTGCTCTGTTCTTCGTCAAAGCTCATATCATATTATGTGCCATCTTTTAAGAAACAAGCTCGCCACACGACCAACGTGCTGTCCATGTTTCGTCAAGCACAAGTACAAGAGTACAAAGAGGTCTGAGTTTGGGCCCATTAACTTGCCCTCTGACCGATGACCCTACCCCTGTTTGAAGTTTGAACGACCATACTCATAAACGGCGAGAGAGTTGAATACTCGAAACCGTTGTGCTGTTAAGACCCTAATAACTATATTTTGCTCTGTCTTACCCCGCCCTCAATCCGTTACAATCCCCACGCTTGCGCTGGATCGCTCCGTCTTGACAAGTTGATTTTAATGAATGACGGGGAATAACTTATGAACTGCCTGCTGCAAACAAATATTCTCTTGTTTACCTCCCCTATCCTAAAAAAATATGCATTTTTTAAAAATTAACTTTCTTCAATAACTTATGGATTTTTTTCAATGTTAGGTCTATCTTTTTGTTCATTTTACTTCTTTTTTTTTTTTTTGTAAAGAAAAATCGGTAGATTTTTTTTCTTTTTTTTTTTGGTCCATTTTATTCTCAAAGATATGATAAACATAAACCGTCTGTCGAACATGTCCTTTGTTCAAACTTGTCTTTTATAAAAGACAAGAACAGAGCAAAGACTCACCAACCCATTGTCCACCTACAGTGTTCATCCTTCCCACGAGTTCCCTGTGAGCTGTGTTTCTTGAAATGAACTTTGTTGACTCTATTGTGTCCTCCTTACTCCCGCTCTCAAGTATTACTTTTCATCATGTTACTAACCCTTTAACCCTCGTTATGTATCAGAATGCCCTGAAACGTTCAGTTGATTTATGGGAAACAGAAAAATATGTAGACAAACATGGTCAACAACTTTTTTTTAGAAATCAGAGTGTTGTGTCCTTAGTTTATTTTTACCTGGCCAGAATGAAACCCGCAAGTTTTTATTTGATTTCATTTGTATTGAAAACTTAAACTTTAAAGTGCAGAATAAAAATAAAGTGCGACTATAAACAGTCATTGCAGACTGTTAGTGCATTTATGTGCAAGATTGCTACTTTAATATAAGTAAAGACCCCAAGCTACAGTCATTTTCCTTTTACCTCAACATTTAAAACAATATCGCGCCTACGTGTAAGAGCTGCGTTAAACTCACGTTGTCTTAAGATTAAAGAAATAAACTGATCCGTTCTTGTTGTTCCCTCAAGGGCATCTAATTTTTTTTTCAGTAAGAGTTGTACTGCACTTGCAACACATTTAGGTTATAAAATTGCAAAAGATTAGAGTTGTTTCTAGAGAGTAAGATGCAAAGAAAAGAATAAGACTTCGAGGCTCTAAATAAAAAGAAAGAACGAAAGAATTCCACCCTGAATATTATATGTTAGAGACTACACCGTAATCTATTTTTTCTCACATTGTGAATTCATTTTGTCATTTCTGATCAAGCTCCGCGAGGCTATCAGTTATTGTGACCACTCCTTTAATAATAAGATTTTACAAATTAAAGTAGAAAAAAGCAAACACCGCGGATGTATCCTATAATTTTTTCATTCGTTATAATATTAATATTAATCCCCTGTGCGTCTTTTTTAATCATGCACTCAATTATCTTTTTTGAAACCAGCCAGCATGACCGAACTATTCATTTTGCTGAAAATATATCCATTGTTTTTAACACCATAGTTATGTTTACTCCTACGTTTTGTCTTCTCATCATAACTGAGACTCACACATTCTATATTGTCCCACATTAATAAACAAACCTTCACATTGATTTTTTTTTCTTCACTCGCTCACGCTATAATACTGAGTTATTATTCTGCCAGCATGCCTCATAAGTGAATGACAACAATATGAAGTTACACGATTTTATACATAACGTTCAAAGGCTGTTATATTTTCCTTATGGTTGCGCTTGTAAGGGCTATTATTATGCTTTTTTTGGCTTTATATTTATGTTATTGTCATTGGTTGATTTAAAATACACATGTACCGGTAGAATATTACACGCTCAACTCAATTTGTTTTGAGGATCCCGTTCAGTTGCTATCGTTGATCTTTAGAGAGAAAAATCCATATTATAATATAATTATTATTGTCGTTGAAAGAACAAAGGAAGTGAGACATCCATACAGGCTGAATTGAAAGGGGGGGGGAGTTGTACGTGATGCCGAAATTGAGTGTTTATTTATTTATTAATTTATTTATTTATTTCATTTATCTATCTAGCTATCTATCTATTCTTTTATTTATTTATTCAGATTTGTGCATATATCATAATAAATGTAATTCCCCCCCCCCCCCCCCCCTTGGACTGTAACTGTGGTTATCTCCTCTTATCAGTACAACATACGCAATCTGACATTGTCAACGAAAGTCACTTTCAAACTGTCACCCATTTTTTAGGTTGCCCAATTTGAATTGAGACGGGAAAGAGATGTATAAACAGATGACTTTGGGAGTGTATACATTGAGAATCGATATCATTATATCATAGGTTTGAGCCCTAAACACATTCACCAAATCTGGCATTGTTCCCATTTGCATCTGCCATGTAACTTCACTGTTTGTAAATATTGTAAGCAACGAATACAAATCGTTGGCTTTTACTTTGTACACCCCTACTTGTTTTGTTTTTTGTTGTTTTTTTCCTGCATCTAGAAACCTTGGGCTGGGGAAGGGTTCTTTTTATAACGTCTTTTTCACCTTTTAAATCTTCTGTGGGGACTCCAATGTACAAGAGTTACCTAGTGTTCTTATGATAGACCTACTTGTAAAAAAAGGATATATATCGCTGGAAAGGGATACATTTATTGATAGTGATAGATTTTCTATACTTTTTCCTCCAGTTTACATACCCACATTTTCTCATGCCAATTGTTTATACCCCCTCCCCCTCCCCCAATCCTACCCCAGGCCTTCACAATGATCGACCAGAACCGTGATGGAATCATCGACATTGAGGACCTCAAGGATATGTACTCCAACTTGGGTGGGTGGTTGCTCTGACGTTGTGCCGCACGGAACGTGGCACTGTGTCTTATTTTCTCTGAGTGTATCGTAGTACATGTATTCTTGACAGTACGCGCTCAAGTGTATGTATGTGTGTGTATGAGTGTGTGTGTGTGTGTGTGTGTGTGTGTGTGTGTGTGTGTGTGTGTGTGTATGTGTGTGTGTGAGTATTTGTCTGTGTCTGTATGTGTGTGTGTGTGCGTGTAGTCGAAGTCATGTGTATGTGGATATAACATAATGTGTCTTGTGTGTGTGTGTGTGTGTGTGTGTGTGTGTGTGTGAGAGAGAGAGAGAGAGAGAGAGAGAGAGAGAGAGAGAGAGAGAGAGAGAGAGAGATAGAGAGAGAGAGTAGTAGTATAAGGTTTTACGGCGCTCGCAACTGCTAAGGTCATATGAGCGCAGAGAGAGAGAGAAACTGTTTGTATCTTCCTTACCATATTTACGGTTGCAGAGACATCCTAGCACACATTCAGGTTCATAGTTTATGAACACACAAACAACTACACAAATTCACGCACAAACACACACACACACACACACACACACACACAAACACACACAAACACACACACACATAAACGCACAAACACACACACACACTTTAAAAAACAACAACAAATACTTTAGTCAAAAAAAACAAAGCGAAAAAAAACCCATTATAGATCTACGTTGAAGTAAATGAGGACACCAACACCAATTGCTACAACACCTCATCCGCCTGTAAGTTGTATAGACTTGCTTTCTCACCAGCACGCTTAACTTTTTTTCTTTCTATTCGTTTGTTTGTCCTGCTCTGAAACCGGTGCTCCCTTTTCCAGGTCGTATCCCGCCCGATGCCGAGTTGAACGAGATGCTGAAGGAGGCTCCAGGACCCCTCAACTTCACCATGTTCCTCAACCTCTTCGGAGAGAAGCTCAGCGGTGGGTTGTTTATCTGTCTTTCTGCTTTTCTGTCAATCTGCCCTCGTGTCTATGTGTCATTGTGTTTGTCATTGCCTGTAAGAGTATATGGAGTACTGAAAAGATTAAGAAAATTAGATTTGTCAATTCGAAAGTCTCCGTTTTCTCTTTAAAAAATGCTTCTTTTGCGACTTTGTACTACACAGTTGAGCACTTACTAAATGCCGTGAGATTACAAAAAAAAGAAAAATTGTTACTGTATGGAAAGGCACAATAAAAGCTTATAGACTATCAACACGCTTTGTGGATCTAAAAAGTTTACCTAAATCATATCTTAAGACAATTGGATGTCTATTTTTGTTCCCAGGTACCGACCCCGAGGACACAATCAGACAAGCCTTCTCCATGTTCGATGGTGATGGAAAAGGATACATCCCCGAAGAGTAGTACGTATTTTTCCCTCTTTATCTTCTTGATACAACGACCAAAGTCTATCCACCTCGCACCCCCCACCCCGCCCCCACCCCCGCCCTCTGAAAAAGCTTTGTCTCGTAACTTTGTATCAAAAGGACTCCATCACATTGAGTAAATTAAGTTTTCATTGTACAATTAACTTTTTCTCTCTTGGCAGATGATAGAAGCTTTTTAAAACTTTTTGTTATTGTTGTTGTCATCGTTGTAGTAATCTTGTTGATGATGATGATGATAATGATGATGAGGATGAGGATGATGATGATGATGATCTTTTCGTTGGGCATGGCTGACTTGGTGGTTGTGGGGGGGGGGGGGCGAGTTGATAAAGATGGATTCATCGAATTTTTCAAAAGGCATATTGGAAAGGGGAAGGGGTGGACGTCAAATATCTATCCTTGATAACATTTTGCTTTTATCAATTAAACTGCTGTTTTATTCAATTATGAAAAAGTGATGATAGGAGACGACTACTGGTTTCCCAACTGTTTAACAATGTTACGTTTCCTTTCCAGCCTGAAAGATTTGCTCTCAAACATGGGTGACAACTTCACAGCTGAGGAGGTAAGATTATAGCATTGAGGCCTTTGGAAAAAGTACATTTTCAGTTAAATAAAAAGATATGCATTGCGCCTTTTGCTTATTACTATAATTTTTTTCTGCTCAGGACAAATGTGAATAAGCTAAACACTTATTCCTGTTATTTAGGTGTATGCAGCAGTGGTCCGAGTAAATAATCACTTGTCAGAGGACAAAGTTTCAAGGTGTACATGTACTTCCTGTAGGACAGAAAAAGGGCTCACAAAGAAGCATACGTCTTGATAAAAGCTTTAGGCAGACCAGCACAAAAGAAAACAGAGCAGTTACTTTTTCAGAATTTAACACTTTGAGCTTAATAAATCAACAAAATTCAATAAAATAGAATAGAAAAAAGAAAAGACCTTTCACACATGCTTTGTTTTCTTTTTTAAATTCACAGATCAAACAGACATGGAAAGAGGCCCCCTTGGAAAAGGGCAAGTTTGACTACGGCACCTTTGTAGGCATCTTGAAGGGCAAAGAGGATGAAGGCGAATCTTAAAAAGCCTCCTATTACACATCTTAGTTTACCCCCCTCTTCTCATGATCCCAAAGTGCCCCTTATGTCCAGTTCACCCAAAGTCCTGGTTTCGGTTAGTCATAATATGATACCAGTCGAATGTTTCGGTTGAAAATTATGTTGCGTGTTTGAAGAAATTATTTTGGTGTTTCTACGCTGGTGAATTTTGATGAAAAGCATTCTTTTCGTTCCCGACTTAGGTTCAAGAGATGAGGGCACAATCGTGATAGCTATTAACGTTTTTGGTGTTTTAGCATTACCCAAATTTCCTGTGGAAATATCCCAGGCCAAAGAGTGCATACCATTCCATATTCACGAATACACCTCCCGAGCATTCTTGCCTCGCCTACCCAGAGCAATCTGGATATGGCACCCACACTCTCTGTTGCCGAGTACGACTCGACACTAAAGCTGTTCCAAAAAACAGAGGGTGTATTTGGTTTGTGTCAAACAACACCAGTGCATTCTGAGGTTGGCGGGTATTTAAATCTTGAAAAGAATGCTAACGAAGGAGGGCAGAATTGGATCTTGTTGATGAGAAGCTGACAACGAGGGACCATAAAACTGCAACCATCAAGTTTTTATATTATAAAGAGATAACAGACGCGGTTCTGCAAGGATAATAATACAAACATCTCACTACTGTACCACGGGACCTACCATCAACTTTAGCAGACCGCTATCTCAACGTCAGCTTCTAAACAGACCTTTTCTGTCGCTTTCGACACTTTGCGAGGTGCTTTATAATCTGTTGGCCTGGGATGTTTTTCAAATGAATATGTTCAATTTACGAACCAACATTCGCGCAAAAATATGGAATTCTTAAACAGTCAAGAACATAATTCATAAGTTACTGTAAAGCACCCATTACGAAGTCTCTCTATAAAATAACCCAATTCCCCTTTGTTTTGTGTCGTTTTCAAACGTTTCTTTTCTGTTCCTATGGCTTACCGTGTCAAGTATGAATGAGCTCTAGGAATGGGGAGGTGTGATTTGTAGAAGCTTATAGACTTGTGACATCCTAGTCAATTCTTTCCTTTCTCTGTTGGTATTTTTTTGTTTACATTTTTTTAAACTTTGTTTTTGACAGACGCCTCGTTTCATTCTCGGGACTGAAGCAGGCGTCTTAAACGTTCATCTCGATGCTGTGTAAAAAGAAAGAAATATTTTTTTTGTATTATACAGTATGTACAAGTCTGACCTGTCATGTTCTCTTCATTGATTAACTTTGTAATATTTATATATGGAGACAAATCATTCATGAAACTGTATTGCTCCATGTTACATTTGCAAGAAATTCAAAGTGTCCGGGCGGCGTGTGAGATAGGCTGGCAACCATGATAGTGGCCGTGTGCACGTCTACGGGGCCTCCCCACACCATCTCGGGGGTCCTTTATGCATGGTTAAACCATGTGGAGTGTTCCTGCGTCCTATTTATTTTGATAAAAACCTCTGTGCACAGATGTCTCCAGTGTCGTTCAATAACTGCTGTGTTGTTCGCTGCGCGTTCGTTTGTTGCAATGTTGGATCGTGTTTTATGGGTGTTCAAGATTTTGTTTTACCCATTGGAGGGACGTTTGCCGGGGGTTTTTGTGTGTGTATTTGTTTGTTTGCATGTTTGTATGTTTGTTTGTTTGTTTTTTAGTTTGTTTTGTGTTTGTTTATGTTTTCGTTTGTTTTTGTTTTTTTTCTTTCTATTGATATTGTTTTTGGATTTGGGGGCGGGGGGGGGGGGGTGTCTGCTTATTTCCAAGTCACTGACCTTCGCTAAAGCAGAGACAAACTTACACTAACACAGCAGGTGCTACGAACTCATGATAAAAATATTATCAGAAAGAGTTTTGAAAAACAAGTACTCGATAAAAGTCAGCTGACAGCACTCTCTTGGAAGCTCTGGTGTAGGATGCTCCTTCTTTCCTACCCAATATCTATCATCTTTATCCCTCCTTCTTTTTTGTGTTTGTTACTCTCTTGTAACACCCCTAAACTTCAGCACTCATATGACCTTATTCTTTACAAGTGCCATTAAAATCTTACTTAAACAAAAGAACCGTTTCGTAACGGAAGTGACATGATCTAGTTCCTTTTCTCAATGCTTCCACCTTCGTCCGACCGGGTTTTAATTGGACAGGTACACAGAATCACAAGCTCTTAAAGAAAGGGCTTACACATCTCAGTGGGTATCACTGCGCTGTCATGTTGTTTTCCCTGTTACCTGTTTGCTTGTTTTTGCCAATAATAAATATGTGGCATAGCTGTAATAGAACATATTTGAAAGGGAAATTATTTCTCCGACAGGAAGAGAGAGCGACCAACAGGAAACAAACGCACACATGCACACACACACACACACACACACACACACACACACACACACACACACACAAACACACACACACACACACACACACACACACACACACAAGAGGAGGAGGAGGGGAAGTAGAGAGATAGAGAGAGAGAGAGAGAGAGAGAGAGAGACTTAAGAGAGAGAGAGGGAGAGAGAGACACACACACACACACAGAGACAGAGAGACAGAGAGATAGAGGAGGAGGAAGGGGAGGAAAAGAACAAGAGAGATGGAGGGGCGGAGAGAGAGAGAGAGAGGGGGGGGGAAGAGACAGACAGACAGACAGGCAGACAGACAGACAGACAGACAGACAGACAGACAGACAGACAGACAGAGAAAACAGGCAGGTCAGCAGGAGAGACAAAGCATTGCAGGTCGAAACGAAAGCTCACACAATCTAAAGCCCTCTATGCAATGAGAATTAAAATTTGCTAAACAAGTCGCTTTTTCTGTTCGAGTGAGTGGGGGCAGGGTGTTTCTTCGTACGATATTTTTGTTGTCTTCTAAACACAATGAGTATTACTTGTACGTACAGAAATTTCAAGACAGGAGTTCTACAATATAGTCTGTTCTCTACTACTACAAGAGTCTAAGGTGCCATCCGAAAAACATATGCCCAGAACCACACCTACAGAGTTCGAACCCAAGTTCCCTCTGAAGCGTTTCTTGATTCGTTAAAAGTTTATGTGGAAAAATCCACAAAAATGCTAAAAGATGCAGCCTGCAGTCTTCAGAATAAAAACGTGTGTTTGGAGAGAAGGATTGCGGGTCATCGGAAAAAAAGATTCCGAAGGTTCGACACGCATTTAGCGCAATTTCCCTCGAGAGGCTTTTACCAATATATTTAAAAAAACAACTCGTGGTACGTGGAACTCTTTTCAAAATAATGCCTCAGTTTTTACTTTCTTAAAACAGTATTAAATTTCATAAACAAGAAAGGTTTAGTACAAACAAGGCCAATATTATCAACATGGCCCAGAAAATATATATGTGGGGCCCTATATAATATTATTATTGAGCTTGAATCTTCCCGTTGTTCACAAAAAGCAACATTCTGTTGTGGTGTATTCTTCAAATGACCGACGCTGTTATTAGATGCACTTACTCGTTCGATTTCACCATTTACCACCAGCACAGATCAAGTACCGTGCCAACTGCATCACAATTTTCCATTAGAGTACAGCAGAGCACAATAATCATGTTATCCAATAATGCTCTTTACAAAATTCTGAAAGGATGTCATATCGCTGTCACCACTTAAGTAATAATAATTTAATAATAGTACTACAACTACTATATAATAATAATAACATTTTTTTAAATGATTGAAGCAGCACGCCTCCTAAATGTTTGCATAAAACAGAGGGTGTATTTGGTTTGTGTCAAACAGCACCAGTGCATTCTAATGTTGGTGGGTACTTAAATCTTGAACAGAATGACAACGAAGGAGAGCAGAAATTTAGTTGTGTCAATGGAGACGTAGAATATTAACATTAAACTTTACAAAATGCAATTTTTACTTCCAACGCAGCAAGTCTTTCTGAGCCAGAACCAACACGCTGTCATCGTGGCTTGTGACGTAGATGTTTGCCTCAGAGTCCTGAGCCACTCCCCTGGGGTCACTCAATAGTTCGTCTTGGGGCCGGACCACTGGATGGCTGAACTGACCGCTAGCCGTGAGGCTCAACAACCCTCTGGATTCCGCCACAAGTACACGGCCAGATGGATCGGTGGTCACTCCACTCGGCTGTTGCAGCCGTCGGGGATGGTCGGGGTGGAATCTAAACTTTACTTCACCTGATGGGAGCAAGAAAGGGTGGTTAGCGAAACTGTTGTAGTTGGGCCGGTTCTTAACTACTGATGGAATTAAATAATCTTGTTGGCTTTTTTTTTAATTGCTGATATCACTGTTGCTGTCGTAACATATCAACAGCATTTTCCTTCCAAAACTGACTTACCAATGCCTGACATGGCGGTTAAACACGGCATAAAAAGGAAGGTCATATTCAGTGAGATGAAATTCCTGCTGAAAGTAGTTAACGCCTTTAAGAAAGAAGACTGCATGAAGAACGAAACTTCCGAAATTTAACAGGGATGAAACCGGTCATGAAACATAACATTATGGGGAATATCAAAGAATCAAGTCGTTCGGTCATCTGATAAGAATACTCCCAAATCAACAGGCAGCACGAGGATTTGACTCAAAAGTGACTGGATACGAGGGCAGGTTCAGACCTCGCAAAACTTGGCTGAATGTTGTTAAAAAGGTCCTTCAAAAGATTAACATTCCTATCAACATAGGCCACCTTCCTAGTTTACTTACTTTTACTTTTTACTTTTTCATCCTCTGTTGCGTTAAGCGTCGAGGGGAGATGCAGTTTTCTATGGTAGGCCAACTCCACAGCCCTTTCAGTTGTGGTATTATGTTTTCTTAGGGTTTCTTTGACACCCTCGATCCACCTTTTGCGTGACTTTCCTTTTCCTTTATAGCCTGAGTGCTTGGTGTTGTAGGCTCTAGACTCCAGGGGCTGGCTGGCCAGGTGATATACGTAACCAGTGGCCTAACCATTTTATTCTGTCTTTCTATGTAACGCAGGCAGGACTCAATGCTGAGAGCTGCTCTTACTTCTTCACTTCTCTACCTGTCTCGTCTTGTGGTGTTAAGGGTTTCTTCGGAGACATTTAATTTTAATTTCACATGCGGTGAGTTTGGTTTCACGGGTTTTAATTAATGTTTAGGTCTGGCACTGGTGGCCTAATGTTGGTATGAATATTGAGGTGATAAGCTGTCTTTTTGTGTCCATGGAGATGTTTGGATGGGGTAGGAGGGGTGCGAGCTGGTAATTGACAGCGTTGGCTTTTTGAGTTCGCATTTCTATTTCTCTGTCTATGGACCCGTTTTCAGAAAAAGTACTGCCAAGATATTTAAACTCCTTCACCTGTTTCAGTTGTTTACTATTGACATGGTTGTTCAAAGGACTACGGTTTCGGCTCTTTTTCATAACTTCTGTTTTTGATGTGCTTATTTTCATGTTAACTTTGTTGCAGCTGTTGTTCAGTTCGGTAGAGTGATTTTGGAGGCTATGTTGGTTTGGCTCCGAGTAGAAGCTCATCTAGTCTTTCTGGGTTTTGGTTTGCGTCTTGCGTTATTGTGTCCAAATATATTATAAACGGGAGGGGAGATAGACCTCATCCCTGCCGTACTCCAGTTCTTACTTTGAACCAGGCTGTATTTCCTTCCTTCATTCTTACTGAGCTTCTGCTGTTGGTGTATAGAGCTCTGACATTATTTAACATTTGTCCTCTGACGTCATACTTTTCGAGTGTCTTCCAGAGTTTTGTATGGTTTACTCTGTCGAAAGCCATCTCCTTCTTTGTTGTGTTCGATTGTTTTCTCGCATATCTGTCTTAATGCAAATACTGCATCCGTGCATCCTCTTCCCTTTCGGAATCCAAACTGAGCTTTGCTCATATTTCTTTCAACAATAGGTCTTATCCGCTGTTCTAGTATTTTTACGTATATTTTCCCTGCGTGACTTAATAAAGAGATGCCTCTGTATGTTGTGCAGTCCCGTTTGATGCCTTTCTTTTTCCATTATGGGACCACTATGAATTTCTGCTAGTCTTCTGGGTATTTCCTTTGTTCCCAGGCTGGATTGAAAATTCGCCTCAGCCACAGAGCGCCAGTGTTTCCACAAGCTCTTATGGCTTCCACTGTGATGTCATTTGGTCATGGCGTTTTGTTCTTGGGGCTGGTTTCGGATGCCTTTTCTATTTCACTGAGAAGTATGGGTGGTTCTGTATGCTCTCCGTATGATGGTTGGTACTCTTCTGGTTGTCCGTGGCAAGCGTCTGGGTTGAGTCGTTCTTGGGAGACCCTCCTAGCATTTGACCTAAACTGCCCTCTCCTCGACGTCGTCTTACGATACAAGAGAAAGGATAAAGTAGAGATGCTGTGACTATAGTGGAAGTGGGGTGGGATGGTAATGGACGGGGATACTGGTGGTAGCTACGAGACTGCTGTAGCTTATTTATGTTGCTTTTATTGCTGCAACTGTTGTTGTCGTTATTGCCATTGTTGTGAGCTTTATCCGAGAAGGCAGTGCCGGTGGAGGCAATGTTGGTGGAAGTAGTGTCTTTGGAGGAAGTGATAGTAATGATGTTGATGTTGCATGCAGTTGCAGAGAGTATTACGTCGGCCAGCAGCTGTCCAGATGTACTAAGCCAATTTTGTCACTTTTTAATGTGTGTTGTTATTCTTATTTGTGGTATCCCTTGCCTGTGCTCGGAAAATATTCCGACGAAGTTCAAATAATTTTAAAGGTTAGAAAAAGGCAGAAAAATATTCATAATGTCGGTAAGATGTTTTGAAAGAATGAATCAGTTGTTTCTCTCTCCTGAAAACTGAAGAAAAAAGTGTTCCCTGGGCTTAAAACAGGTAAAAGGTTTGCTAACGATTACTATTGTTGTTCGTAGTATCCTGTAGCCCGACTGCCAGCATCATAATATCTTATTTCACCCTCCAATTATTATTGTAGGAGCACACCGACCTTGTATTATGATACGAATCGCTTTTTAGGCCAACGCCGCGCTCATTGAATTGATTGCTTTGAGTCGTTGTCATGTAACTAGAGTGCCACGTCATCCGGATACATGGCTCAATGATCAATGATTTTCGCTGGTCTAGCAAAGGAATCTATAATCATTTATCTGGGCGAATTTTCGGAACAACTCTGTTTCACCAATCTTCTTTTTAGAATTGATCTAAACATGTATCCATAAACATATTTTCTTTTTAACAAATAAATTCCCATGCACCACACTAATTTTCGTATATATTTGCTATGCACAGTTTGGCCACTGAAACGATTCTTTAAAGTCCTTGTAGAAATCATATTCACTGTGGCACACGCTATCCTCATGGGCATACAACATTACGGATATCAGAGAGAAACTTAAGCTGAACCTGATTATACCAGCCCTTTGTAAAGACAGTGCGTTGTCTTGTTTTGAGCTAAGATGAACAGAAGACGCTGGGTTTTTTTTATTTAGTTACTTGACATCTGCAGAACTCGAAGACACATAATTTTAATTAAAGGTGGTCACCCTGCAATGTGTTTTTTTCTTTACTCTTTTCTTTCTTTTTTTTTACGTTTTATTTTTAACTTTTCGGTGCGTGGTTCGTCAGTGGTGAAAGCTTTCAAAAGACACAGTAAGTACATGTACATAGTAGTAAAGATATCCGTTAAAAGCAAAGGATGGCGTTATGTACGAGTTGAACTAGCTATTGCCCATACATCTACCCCATAGTCTACACATGTCAAGTTTTTGAAAGTTGATAAGAAGGTAGGATATATAAATAAAATATCAAGTCAGGAGTACCAACGATCACAAATAAAACAACCTGCCACTCTGAGATAAGTCTGATAAAAATCAAACTTTTTTATCTTTCTTTTCAAGACCTGGACAATCACTAAAGACAGTGAAGAAGTAACGGAAATGTGGTCTCTTAGGAGACTTGAAATGCATTAGTATTTTTAAAAAGCCCATATGTGCGTGCTGATTAAAACAGTTTAGGAGGAGAAAAATGTAGTTTCTGGGACACTTGGATAGACATAAAGACCTTGAACATCTAGCTCTCAGTGGTAAAATTGAAGGCAAACAAGGCAGAAGTAGACCCAGAGCAAATTACTCCAAAAGCCTAAACAGATGGGTGAAGGGGAAAGATCAGGAAAACAAAATATGGCTTTTTTTTTAGAACATCCGAGCAAAGGAACGAATGGCGAACCACCATGACAGTTGATGCCTGTCGTAGGTACATAATAATATCAAATAAAAGATACTGACCTTTGTGTGTCAAACTGAACACTGCTCCAAGCTTGCGATCTGAGACGAGTATGTCCATGCGAGGTGTCACATTCACGTAAGCCGGGTACATGAACATTGGCTGTCCTTGAGAATCGTTGACAAATGTCTTCAGAACCTGGAAAGGTATAAAACGCTAAATTCATAGAAATAATTCTGGAGGTTGAGTAACCTGGCAGCTCTTCTTTGGGAAGGGGTGGAGGGCTGGATCTAGTACTGTCGATCAGTTGGTATTGATGTGTAGTAACCTCGCTGTTTACTGTTTACTTGAGCAAGAAGAAGCACACCGACCCAAGAGTTGCCAATAACAAAACAAGGCTAATAGAAGAAAAAACAGCAGATGGAGTGGTAAGAAATGTGATCTACCAACCAGCTCCTTAACGGCTCAGTCAAAACAAATTACTCGTTTCAGGATAAAAAGCAAAAAAAACAACCCCACTTTAATCTGAATCAGAGGTGATTCCCTTTGCTTGAATATAACTCTCAAAGTTACAAATCTGTCCTTTTAAGGGTGACCTTTCCTTGTGAGAGTTGAGGAACCAAGGTACGGCCTTCGTCTCCCCATTGATTTTTACATAATAATATAGCAGTCAATATCAAACGTAAGCCTTTTTAAATATGTATACTCAAAAACAAATATGACAGATAAACAAAGAAAGATTACAACATCTAACCAACATTTCTAGAAAAAGTGCACGTTTTAAAACAGACAGCTCTCATCAAGGCACAGCCTGATTCAATGACACGGTAACAAAATATGAGATAAAATCGTATCCAATTGTTACGCCCAGGACGATTTTGAAGAATAATGTATAGGGATACCCAAAGGGCCAATCATAGCACGGCTAAAGATACATTCAATAATCACTACAAGCACAACAATAGAGAATAATATAAAAACTAACAGTATCGAAACTTAAATCCGTAGCAACACCCCCAA